AGAAACTACAATACCCAGAGACGTAGTCCTCTACAAAGTTTATCTTAATATACTACTCAACTTTTGCTAAGCACCAGAGTTTTATTTTTATATTATCACAAGTATGAAACAGATTTCTTTCCAATTTTGGAAAAAAAATGGTTCAGCAATTTTTTGAGATAGCCCCCTGACATGAATCCGTTACAACTCGTCTAGGTAGCATGGAAAACATGCACCCCAATATTTTCATTTTTTGATGGTTTGTACAATCACGTGTCTTTTGTTATACGGCGACATTACCGGCTTATTGCCATTCAGTGGCATCTGTCACTTCGATATGGCAAATGCTAGCATTAGGGGCATTGAGAGAAGCAGAGTTATGAAGGTCTGTAAGGTTGGTGCTGCGAGGGGAATGGGGAGTGGGCACCTTCCGCCAGTTTGTTGCGGCACTTGTTGTACACCACACCGTCATTACCAGAGCCTTGGAGAGATACCTGCAACTTAGTACACCCTCCAGGAGGCATGCTGGAGGTCGGCAAAGGGTCACCACACCAGCTAAGGATCTGCTTTTTGGTCATTCAAGCACATCGTGCAAGGTTTTCGACAACAACTTCTCTTCGAAATGACCTTGCTTATGCTGCAGGAGTGCGTTCTCCATGCAGACGGTACGTAGAAGGCTGCGTGAAGATAATTTTCGGTCGAGAAGACCTTGCATACGTATCCCCTTGACGCATTGACATCGCCAGGCTCATTTGGAATGGACCATGGAGCATACACTGTGGACCATGCAACACTGGTGACACGTTATATTCACTGATTAGACCAAGTGTTGCCTAGACTTAACATATAGGCGTGCTAGAGTCTGGAGAAGACGAGGTGAACGGTGTTAGGCTGCAAATATTGCTTAGCATGACTGCTACGGAGGTGGGTCAGTTATGGTTTGGGGAAGAATCACCTGGGATGGACGAACCGACCTGGTTGTGCAAAATAGAGGCACATTGACAGGTCAGCGATACATGGACGGCATCTTAGACAAATAGGTAAGGTTGTATGCTGGAGCAAGCGGCGATCAGTTTATTCTAATGGACGATAATTCTCGCCCCATAGAGGCAGGGTGGTCCAGGACCACCTAGAGAGGGAGTCTATTGCGCGCATGGACTGGCCAGCTCGCTAACTTAACTTTAACTCAAAAGAACACATGTGGAATGAGCTGCAGGTTATAATTTCAGCCCGTCAGCTTCAACAAGAACCATCCAGGAGCTTGGACCCATGTTGGGTCAAGAATGGCCAGCCATATCCGTTAAACCAATCAGAAACCTAATAGGGTGTATAAGAAGGCGCTGCAAAGCTGTCATTGACAGACAAGGGTCACACACACGGTATTAAGTATAAAACTGTAAACAAAAAAACAGCAACAAAAAAGCAACAGCAAAAGAACAACAACAACAATTTAACCAATTTGGAAAACACGCTGCATGTACTGAAATCCTCAAAGAGGGGGGGGTCATCCTCTTCTCTAGCACAAAATTGGTGTAAAACTCATTTATAGGGTTAAATTCGTTCTTCAGCTGAATTGATAAAACAGTAAATCAACATTTAAAACCTTTCGCAAGGCGTTAGTTAAAATATCAAAGAAATATTCACACTCAAACAGATGGTGCTTAGGAAAAGTTGAGTATTATAATAAACATACGTCGTACAAAATTAGTCACACCCCGAGATAGAATTGCACGGGGATTTAACTCTTTTTCTACGACACACGCGTGTCAAAAGCTCAAGATGCTTTTTTGCGTTTGGTATGTAGCTTTGCCAAATGTTCCTCTACAAAAATTGTATAAAGAATGTCTTTAGAATCAAAATTGTCACCGCTCCAGGAACATATTAACATACTTATAAAAAATGGTCAGACATAAACACGTACAGGGTTCAGATATTTTGCATGCAACATGGCGTGGTGCCCATTTCTGAAGTTATTCAGCCTTACCCCCATTGTCAAGATGATTGGACTCACTTTGTTTAATATATAGACTGGTATAGGAAAACACATCAAAGTCTTCCTTGTAAGAACTTAAATGATTCGGTAAGATGTCATGATAGTTGTCATTTAGAGCTCCAGAGTGGCCCTGTACAAAATTCATCTATGACGATGCTTATGTTACACAGACCTGAAATCTCCTAACTACATATTCCAGGGTTAAGGCATTTTCCCCACAACTTAGCCAAGATAGGCATTTAGATGAGCATTGTTAGACTATCATGGTCCTCTCTTTTCGAGTTTCAAATGAAATGCCATATTTCTGTTGGCCTGTATCTCCAATAGTTAATATTTTGTTTCATATTTTTGTCATAATATTTTTAAAGATGAGAAGATAAAATATACAATCTGTAAATGTCCGCCTGTAAGTTGAATGAGATAACTTGGATGGCAGATAAGTCCAAAGCTAATTGATACCTCTTATTTGGAATGTGTCACTGATTGCTTTTGTGTTTGTTAGGTTAGATTAACATATAATGTGAAAACTTTTTTATAAATTAATGGAGAATCATTCGTCAACAAAGAATTCAAATTGCATAAAGTGGTTACTCATATCAAACGTTTTTTTTGTGATCGGAAGGTCAAATGTAAAGAGCACATCGTCCTGTCCTTGCATATGAAACATTTCAGCAAAATACCGGAGTACCATTTGAGAAAGAGACTTCAAACTTCATAGGAAGAATGGCCTTACTGAGTAAAACAAACAATTTTTGGCTGGGTAGGCCTGTTTCCATAACAATATCTCACAGAATCACAAACCTGCCTACTGGAATAATTGTCCTGAGTGGAAGTTTCCTACTTTTTTAGAGTTCAATATGTTTGATGTAAACAGTTCAGTAACAAAGCTGTCAGTGAATGTCGGCTGTCGGGATTAAAACAAATATGTGAAAAAATGCCATATGGTAGGTCATAAATTTACTTGTGTTCTTTCAAACAGAAATAAAAATCAGTAAAATGTGGTTGCATGGTCTAGGAAGTTTAAAACAAAGTTGTGAAAAATGACACATTTGTCATATATTTATTAAGTGTCGTTCTTTTTGGAAGACCCTGATTTTCTCACATTGTTCAGTCATATCAAATGATATAAGCCTAATGGTGTGTCTGTAAGTCTTTCTATTGACAGTCAGGCATTAGACAATTCTACTAAATAATGACTTTATTATTAGCTCGACTATACGAAGTATATGGAGAGCTGTCCTACTCGCCCGGCGTCCGCGTCCAGATTTCAGATTAAAGTTTTGGTACAGTAAAATATTTTTCACTATAACTTTTTCGTTTCTTATGGTATCAACTTCAAACTTAAATATATTTTCCTTATCATCAATCAAATCTTATGTGACAAGGTTCATAACTCTTGCATCAATATTTTTAGATTTATCTCCCCTTGAACTTAGAATTTTCCTTAAAGATACTGTTTTTTACTATTTCTTGTTTATTTCTTAAGGGATAAACTTCATACTTCAAATATATGTTCCTTATCATCAACCACATCTTATGTGACAAAGGTCATAACTCTAGCACCAATATTTTTAGATTTATCTCCCCTTGAACTTTTCCTTAAAAAAATATTTTTTACTGTTACTTATTTATTTCTAAAGGGATCAATTTTATACTTCAAATATATGTACCTTATCATTAACAACATGTTATGTGACAAGGTTCATAACTCTAGCACCAATATTGCAAAAATTATCTCCCTATAAACTTAGATTATTTTACTTGAAAAATGTTATATTTTATTATAACTTCTTTAGTTTTAAAGGTTTCTACCTCAAACTTCAAATATTTATTCCTTATCATCAATTTCATTGTATGTGACAAGGTTTTTAACTCTTGAAGCAATATTTTCAGATTTATCTTTCTTTGAACTTAGGATTTTTTTAAGAAATATTATAACTTCTTTACTTTTTAAGGACTCTACTTCAAACATCAAATATATATTTCTTATCATTACACACATGTTGTGTGACAAGGCTCATAACTCTAGTGTGACTATTTACAGAATTATTCACCTTGATCTTGGAATTTATGTAAATAATGATATTTTTACTATTACCTAATAGATGATAATACATAATTGATTTTTTCCTAGTTTTGTCTTCCTTACTGCGTCCAGTATTTTATTAGTTGAGTTTCGCTGTCTCCTGTGACACCTCTTATTTTTATGATTATCATCGTTATTACTATTATTATTATTTTAATTATTATTGTTACCTTCCTTACTTTTCAGATGTTGCCCAAAACATAATTGTTCTTTGTTTTATGCGCATAATATCAGCAAGTTCTTAAATATCAGACAGGATTTACAATTGTTTAAACCGGCGCTAAGAACGCTACTATAAAAAAATGCTTATTGAAAATATTATTTGTCACAACTTCTTACCGAATTATGATGAATATGTAGGATAAAACACCGACTGCTTATACAAACTGGAATATCTAAGTCACGGGTAACTAGCGGAAACTCGACAGTCAAACTGTTTACCACTGCAAACAGTTACATGTACCATCGAGTAACATTTTCAGGTCTGTACTGACAGCCGCGGGCCGATGTCGTTAGATACTTAAAACCTTCATTGCAATCAAACACCTTCGCATACACACGCACGCTCTCAAAAACACGCGCGCACGCACACACTTCGGAAGCGGAAATAAAACTATCCTGTAGGAGTTTACACTATAACGACTAGGTTATTACAATTCTTTCAGGGGAATTCATGACTAACTTTCAAGGTCAATTATCGTAAATCTGGTCTCCTTGAAAAGACGTGGGTTTCAATTACCATCACTTGCAATATTGCTCGTTTTAATACAAACATAAAAAAATATAAGTAAATACTAGTAAGATTTTTTAAACGTAATATATTTGTAATCATTCGATCATTTGTACCACCTCAAAACAGTACAATATCATCTACAACCATTAGACCTATCTGATCCAAAAACTTAATCGAATGTAACGAAAAGTTTAATACTAAATAATGATTGAGGAAGTTTTCACTTTAGGTGTGTTTGATGATAATTACAGGGGAAACAACAGATATGATGTGATATACTCTACATTCATAGTGTTGGATGGAGTATTAGTAGTCGATTTCGTGAGCCGGATGTCACACACTTGAAAAACAATTAGATCTTACCCACGATTCATTCCGCTACATGTTATCGTAAACAAAGGTTTATTTAAAACATTAGTAATTTTAAAAGTTACAGTAATAAACTTTTCATTTTCTTTTGAAATTGTGTATTCTATCTTAATAAACAATAATTTGGATACTATACTATATATAAAATGTCAAGGAATATTTCCTCTCAGTGCACGGTAATTTTGGCTATATTATCAACAGTGATGATGACAGGCAACGGTAGGTGGAGTTTTATTGTATCTGTCACTTTATTTTAACGTTTTATGATATGTCTTGATACAAATGCTGCTATGAAACGATGATACTCCTTTGATATTTAACATTTTAAAGAAAAGTTGCCTTAACACTTTTTTGATGTAAGAAATGTAATACTGCAAATGCATAACCGGTGTAACGAAGTAGTGACACTTGTAGAATAATGACATCGCGGTCATTATTCTATTATGAAAAAGTTGACCCCGTATTCTACGACATACCGAGTCTCTCTGAAGAAAAAGCACCCCCTCAGAAACCTGTAGAATATTGACCCCTAAAACTGAATATCAACCACTGGAAGCCTTTTTTGATGTCGCAATATTAGTAATTGCATTGTTTTTGACTTTTGTATGACAAAGACCTTCCCTATGAGCTACATTGTAGTCTTAGATTCTAGAATATATGAAGATTTAAATTTTACATTGGCTGATTTACATGAATCTTTTCATTGATTGATTGACTCTATTCATGAGATATAAGGTGCAGCATCTCTTATTCCAATTGCACCGGTTTAAACAGTATTAAATTCGCATCGTAAAAGTTGAGTAGTGGGTCATAATATTATGCCTGGAAATGTCAATATTCATATAAAGGATGGCCGGGGTTCATTTTCATTAAAGAATACTGACTCCCCACTAAAAGAGAATCCTTCTTTGACAATATTATGAGTTTAAAATAATACACACTATATTCACCTTATCATAAAAAGTTGACCTAATAACTCGGAAGAAATGATCTAATTACTCACAAGAGCGATCAGTGTTCGTACTTCGGCAAAAAATCCTTCAGACAACCTTAAAACATGAGTAGTATGTACAAGAACTTGAACTACCGAACAATCCTGTAAAGTTTCATTGACATTGCATAGCAGGAATAGTCCCGACAAATTTTAAAATCTAAATCATTAAAGGGTCAAAACTCTGATAAAAATCAATAAAATAAAAAATGTTGATGAGATGCACAACTAGATATGGTATTAATCACTCCCCTAAAAGTTTTATGAACTCCTTCTGGGGAGTAGTGCAGGCAAACTTCTGTAAAGCTGGTAACGCCAAAAAAAAATCTTTTTTATTCAAGGTCAATTAGTCAGCCAAAAATCATTAAAGCGAAGACCTTGTAAGTTATACACAAGTACTTGATCTACCAATCAATCCTATTAATTTTCATTTAAATGACATTAGTGGTATAAGAGTAGTAGTCCAGACAACCTTAAAAAATAAAAATCATTAAAAACAAAAACAACCGGAAAACTCATGCAATATGCACAAGGAATTGAGCTACAAATCAATTGTTTAAAGTTTCACTGAAATTGCATAAGTGGTACAAGAGCAGTAGTCCGGACAACTTTTAAAAATGAAAAATATTAAAGTGCTATAGTCCCGACAAAAACCGTTAAACCGGAAAATTCTGATGATATGCGCGACTATAATTTGTAATAATCATTCCAGAAAGTCTGGATGAAATTGCATCAGAAATTTCTGAGGTGTAGTCCGGACACGTTTTGTGACGGATGGACGTTCTCACGGGTAAGTAATAATGTGGCTACTCTATTGGTCTCTCTATTGTTCTTTTTAGCCACAAGAAGAAAAAAGCCACATAAAAGAGCATTGCGAAAAGATAAAGAACAGTTACCTATTATCCCTCTAGTCACATTATAACTGTCCCGTGAGAGCGGACGGACGGACGGACTTATAACGGAGAATGATCCCTATATGTCGCCACTAATCCGTAGAGGCGACAAATTAATAGAAGTTTACGTAATCACTCATAATAAAAGTCGACCTTATCATCCATAATTAAAGTTGAACTTATTACTCATATGAGAAATTGACCCAATCACTATTATAATGATAGAAGTTAGAAGACTTAAACCCAATTATGATGTACAGTTACTATTACAAAAGTTTTTGCGCCTTAAATCTAGTCCGGAGAAACGAATGGAACACAGACTTCCCTGTCATTATACAAAAATACCTTTTTATATGTGTACATACTTATTCCATATGAAGAAACATAGTCGTGAACAGAGAAAGGTTCGAACCCCTGACCTCTTGGTTTAGAGACAGACACCTTAACCACTAGCCAGCCGCTCAAATTGAAATATTTACTTTGATTTTTCTTTTATTTCAGAACCATATCTTATCAATCTTTTATACAAAACGTATTCTTGTAAATATTTTTTTTTATTTCTAAAGCTTCTTTAGAACACTTACAAATTAACGTCAAGAAATAAATTTGTTTCGTGGTTCTATAGTAAAATCAACTAATATAGTGCAAAACCAAATGAGAAAAAAATTCATTATGTAAAAATCATTCCACTAACAGCTACTGCATTTGAAATAAAAAATAGTCAGATATTAAATTAATTACGCCATGAATAACTTCTTCCTTCATTTCTTTTTAGCAACTCGTCATTAAATTTTATTATATTTTGAAAATAAAAACATTTGACAAGTGGTCTCTATTAAAACAGGTTGAGGATCATTTTACTTCATGTGGGTTGGACATTATACAATGACCGGCGTCATAATTTTATGACCGGGGAGTCGATATACTTAAAAAATATAGATCGGGCGGTTCATTATTCTATGGGTCACTTTATTTCAGTATACCGTTTTTTTTCCATTTCGGAGACAGCAAATACTGCATTGACATTGAGACCATGGGCTCAAACCCCAGAAGGGGAATTTTTTATTTTTCTTTTTAACATTATTTATGTATCTCTCAGATCCCTTATGGAGGTAAAAAGTGTTTTAATCATAAAATTATTGTAGGTATTAATTTGCTAAATAATGCCAAATTTAATGAAAAATATGATACCAGATATTTTCAAAGTTTAATAAAATAAAAACTACACGGTAAAAGTATTTTATATTTCGCACGATCAACCATTATATTTTTTTTTAAAAAAAGCAAAATTTGAAAACAGCCCCTTGTTGTGATAATTTAAGGGATATATTGAATAAAACTTTTTTTTTGGAAATGGTCAGACAAGTATTTAAAGTGGTGGGTACGGTAACATTTTATACATATTAAAAATCATTTTGTTTAGAAACAATCATTTTGCTCGTGTAATTTGTTACTTGAATGTTATAATTTGTTTCTTAACAATGAGCAATAGAAAAACAATTTTCATAATGATGATATTATAGATTATTCAGAGTTTCCTCATTTCTGAAAAAAAACTCTGCTAATTAAGCAAAGTTTTAGTTTAGAAATATATCCAAAACCACACGTTAAATTTTATTTAACTTTGCATACAGGTGACCTTTAAAGATATACTATGCTCAAATTTGATATCAGGAATTATTGGTAATTGCTACACGGTCTATTTGTAAATATAAAATTTTTTGACTTCACACAAAGTAGAAATGTCATGTTTAAAACTGTACACACTATAGGTGGTCACAATATGAATAAATAGTGTGTTAAAGAAACTGGCAGTTTTTTTAAGAGAAGACCAACTTTACTTGTCCTGTAATAGGGAACGTGACTTCCAATACATAGTTAATTCATTTTTAATTCAAATTAGACATATTCAGTAAGATTTAACAAATTTCTTTGATTAAAAAATTTTACTCAAAGATGAGCAGGGTATATCTTTAAGGCATATAACTGCCCTATGCTGTCATTTTTACAGTTCCTTATAATGCTCATTAGCCAAGGTCTACTTTAATTGTTTATTACTCTACCCATTAGGAGTAGTTCTAGACTGTTATAACACTACAGTTTCGGAGTACGACGGCCATCAGCAGACGACTGTTAATGGAATACCGTGTTTACGATGGGATCAGTCTAGTACATACAATGCGAGTGACTTCCCAGATGCCACAACGTCAGACGCAGCTAACTTCTGTCGTTCTGTACGACATAACGAACCCTGGTGTTTAATATCGGGAACGTGGGACAGGTGTGGTATCAATAAATGTGGTGAGCAAATATGTATCTTTTTTAAATATTGATGTTTGCTACACAGTCGTTTTGTAAAAAGAAAATAAACATGTTTTAACTCCACAAAGTAGATATGCCATGTCTAAAATTTTAAACACTATAGGTGGTCACATAGTGTAATTAATAAAACTTGCTGTTTACATTTGTGCTATGTTTGCTTAGCATCGAAGCATTTGTTCATAGTTTTATAGCAATTCGAACTTGTAACTTAAGGCTTTTCAATGAAAACAGCCATTTTTCACAATATGCTCATGTTGTAATAGGAGCGCAGGAACAAACTCTCATCAGCTCTAGCGAATTTGAATCGGCTGAACTATAAGCTATGATACCTATTGTAGTATATAATGTAATTTGCATTTAATTAAGGGGGTCAGACTTGTTTTCGAAACAAATGTTGTCGTAATGTTACATTTAAATAGAACGGAATAAATGAATAAATGGTTATAGCTTGCTACTGTTAAACACCTGATGTATTCGTCAGCTTTGCTGTATATAGAGAGAGTATCGGTTTTGTAATGCAAGTCTTGTGCTCATTTAGATTTAACGATCAGGATAAAGGTCTGATTAAAAAAAATATTCTCCATTGTTAATCCTCATTTATAAGCTCGACTTGTTATGGGAAATAATAAATATAGGTACTGTTACAGTTATTATTATGTCAGGATAGACCTTCAGAGTAACTAGTCAGACCTTGACCTTCACATAAATGACCTTGAAGGTCATTATTGAAATTTCAATCTTTTATTTTCTGTAACTGGCTTTAACTTTATTATTATTGAATGGATTGACTTTATATTATAACAGAACAATTTTAAGGATGAGACCTTTATGTATATAAAACTCAAATTGACCTTGACATTTGAGGTTGTATTATTGAATGATCACTGATTTTGCTGCTATTGACTGTAACGTGGTAATTGATTAATGGAATATCTTTATACTTTGCCAAAACAACATTTTGGACAAGACTTTCATAAAGTATGACTTGGACTTGAACTTTAAATGGCCTTGACCGTCAAGATAATATTATGATTTTTTGTTAAGTTGTCACTTTTTAGTTAATCATATACGGATCTGATTTAAACTTGGACAAAAACAATAATTGCTTCCAAACAAATTTAATTTTTTAGACGTAACTTGACCTTAAGGTGCCCTTGACTATCAATGTCAAATCAAAGAAATGTTCTTTTTTTTTTCTTCTTCTTTAAGCTTTTGGCTTTAACTTTGTTATTTATAATTGAATGACTTAATTGTCCCATGTATGACCTTGACCTGGAAGCACAAATTATTTCATTTCCACTGATTATCAATCACTTTTTTTGGCTGTAACTTGGTAACATATCAATCCAATATTTTCATACTAAAACAAAACAACCTTTTGGACATTGCATTCTAAAAGGTTGATCTGACCTTGACCTTTAAATGGCCTTACTTTGATAATCGGTAATTTTTGCATTTTGTTTCTGTATCATTTGATAATGGCCTAATATGATCAATTCTAATTATATAAACACATAAAAATAATAATTGATGCACATTTATTAAAATATTTTACAAGTGTCGCTTGTTTCTATTTTGTTCTAGGAATTGATATCATACACTGAGTCTCATGATCATTTAACCCTTACTACTGGTTCAGATTAGTAGTCGGTCGACCCCTCGCGGTAAAATTTATAATCAGTGGTTAGTCATACAAGAAATTTAAACCCGTTAAGGTTGACCGAGTACTGAACAATGACCAAATATTATTTAAAATGGCAACCATCAATCAAAGAATAAAGCTATAATGAAAGTTTCGACTGTATCAATATTATTTTGTTTTATGAGCACTGAAAAATGGCATAGCCAAAAAGGGAACTTCCCGACTTTGTTTCATTTGTTTTTCATTTCAGACACACACAAAACAAAAAACAAAAACAAAATAATAAAGCTTCACAACGTTAGACTGAGAGTTGTTGTTTTGCATAAGATGCAATTGCTTGGACGTTTGTTATTACAGTCTAACCTCGATTATTCGAAGTTCCCGGGACTGAAAATTTACTTCGAAAAATCGATGGGTTCGAATAATCCAAATCCGAACATAGTGATAGACGAAAACTACACCACTTGACCATATCGCAAATTCTAGCGAAATTAAAAGTTTACAACTCATCTGTTACCGGTAATCAATCGAAAAAACAAATAAACAATGATAAATGTTTAAAATATTTTTATGGTTAACTTAAACATAACTACTTGCATTTTTATATTTCCATATAGCGTATAGGTTAATATAAACATGCATGAACATTAAAAATATCGCTGTCATCTTCTGTATAAGAGAAAAGAACAAGCGCAGGATTTAAATCATAGATATACATGTACATACATTACAAATGTATTCAACATTATACAAGCAATATAAATATTTCATCTTCGTCAAAATATAAACAAGCAACTTGAAAAGTCATATTATTTTTCACTTCTAAATGTAATTTTCACAGACACATTTCGGTAATATTAAACATCCAAGATTGCTCAGCCAGAATATCTTGTGCTAACGTAGAAATATTGCACAGATTTGAAATAGAAACTGGGAATTCACATTTATAAAGAAAAACATGACACAGCTCGCTAGTTGTCTTTTTTATTTGTTTATTTTTTTCAATCCATTCTGTAATTAAAATCTTAATTTGAACACTGTCCAATTAATATCACAGTTTATTTTCATTTGTTTAGTTTCATTCTTTAATTTAAATAATTATTTTGAACACTTTTTACCGTCCAATTAAAAGCGTACAATTTATGTTCGGTAATTATTAAAGTTGAAAATGTACTCGCAAATCGTTATTATCACGATTAACTAAATACATGCACCGTTGTTTGAAGTTTTTCCGCAAAGTTTTTCACAAGTCGGGACGGTCATCGAGTCAATTAGTGCCAATTAGTCTGGCTTCGAATAATAGGTGTGAAATTCTTATATAATGATATAAAAGGGACCGAAATTTTGCTTCGAAAAATAGGGGGTATTCGGATAATGCATTTCGAATAATACGTTGGTATTTATATTAGTTTACATAGAGATGAAAACGGGACCGTAGATCAACTTCGGATAATGCCGGGTATTCGAATAATGGGTTGTCGAATAACCGGGGTCGGACTGTATAACAAACTTTCATTTTCTTCAATACTGTGTTCAATTTCAATTAAGCAATGACCGTTTGACCAGACAGACATGACACTTACACAACAACATACATTCTTAAGCTACTTATAACCTCTGTTACCTTGATTATACAGAGTTTTCGTTGCTCTTGTTGTGAATGGGTATATTCAATTTATTGGGGTGATTGTTTTTGTTTTTGTTGTTGTTTGTTTTTGTTTTCTATTCTACTGCTTTAGCATATTTGTCGATTCTACTGCTTAAATCAGACGTTATATGTACCACAAAAATGTTTACCTGGGCTTCATGAACTAAGACACCTGTTAACAATAACCAAAGTGTTGTAGCCTTTGTATTTCTTAAGAGTGTCCGCGTACTAAGTATGTGGGTTCCTTAGCTGCTGAATGAGCAATTGTGGTATCTACCAATCACAAACTTTTCAAGGTGTAAAAAATTTCAGAATCACTACCTTCTGATAGCCTGCACAACTGGCTATGTCATTCACTCATTACTTAATGAGCATTCTGTGAAAAACGGAGCATAGACACATGACTGAAAAGACTCCTGTTTCAAACTCAAATTGCCATGAAACTATAAATAAAGCTTCAATACAGCTCAACCTTGGCACTAATGTTCACATGACCATTGTAACCACATACTTAATCTTAAATTTCCTGCTACCATGACAACAAAGGGACATCTAAAAATTACTCAAAATCACTATTTTGCGTTAATGTTTCCATCAAAACTGATTTCTAAGTGATGTAACTTCTCAATTGATTGAGATAGAGTCGAAAGCTTTTCGGCGTTTGTTACACGTTACTTTATGATTGACCTGGGATTATTTTTAGCCTCTCACAAGTCCAAAATTTTCTTAGAGATGAGGGGGTCCGCCGACCACCTTCAAACCCCCAAACAGAATGGGCTTATGCTCTTTCTTGCCACGCCTTGATGTATCTATTTGATAGGGAATGGTGCCGAAAAAGTGTTATTTACTTATATTAACACCATTTCTCGCGAAAACAAGTGTCTGGGTTTAAATAGGGAATTTTGTTTACTATTTGAGGCTTCAAAAGTAGGGTTGGGGTGAAAAGGCGTAAACAGACGTCTATATGAGGTAATGGGTTATTAACCGAAAATAATGAAAAATATTGGAATAATCCCAAATCGAGTTTTTTTTTCATGTGAGTCCTTTTTATCATGTGACGAAAATAAGTTTATATCAGAACTTTATACAAATAAATAGAGCTTTCGTAAGCTTAATTCTTCAACAACGTGCATCAATTTTAAAAATGTTGTCTCTCTCAATATCATGAAATATAGAAAATAAGAATTCATGAAGAAAGCCCAACACGGCAAAATTGAAAATGTTGCAGGCTCGGTGTGATTGAGCATGTTCATGGACGGTACTGTAAAGTGCAAATTACCGTCCACGCCCCCTAGCACCGGCTTTAGCAGAATTCAACATTTAACATGAACTGATACGATTTTGAATTTTGATACATTCGCAGATGTGTTCATATGGTGGTTATCATAGAACCTTCAATGTCACATTTTCGTGCCATTCAATGAAAAGCGGCATATGGTCCCCAAGTAAAAAACCAGAAAACAATTGGCGGAACTAGATAAAATGGAATTTTGAAAGGGGATCAGAGGTTATGAAGCCTGCATATCACAGATAATACGTCAAAAGACAAATTTAAAAAAAAATGATTATTAATAAACAACGCTTAGATCATCATCAATTTCACCACCAAAGGTAATAACAATTTTGCCTCAATCGTCATCAACATTATCATTATCAAACGCATCATCATGCCCATAATCATCAAACTCACTATTATCATCATCATCATCACTTTATAATTTTCATCACTTTCATCCCAGTCATCTTCAAAATCATAATTTAAAACTCCTCTATCATCAAAATATAATTACAGCCACCATCATCATTGCAGTCGTTATCATGATGATGACAACCATTATTATCAAAATCAGCATCACCTCGATCATCGTCATTGCAATGATCATTACGTCCGCCATTTAAATAAACAAACCAACTCAAACGTCTTCATTTAAAACCATGATTACCTCTTTCGTCATCACCATCATCATCATCAAAATCAGTATCATTTAACTTCACTTCATAATCATCAGCACTTAAATTATTACATTCATCGTCAAAATTCTTTATCATTTCCATCATCAGCATGGGAAGTATCATTACACCCATCGTAGAAAATTTCATCATCATCAAAATCATATTTATCTTCACGAAGTCTGATGCAAGTTATACAGTTTTTTTTCTAATTTAAAGGTCGGGTTTATCAAATTTATATGTCACTTAATATGTTTGAAATCATAGAGGCAATTTATATCAAGTGTTTCTCAAATTTTCGAATCGATGAGAATGGTGAACAGTTGAGGAAGACAAATGCTGGATCCAGTGGACACACACTTTTCATATGACGCACTTAGGCCCGATATCTCACTTATTTCTTCACGGTAAATCTTGCATCTTAATCATTTATGGCGTTGACAGTGCTGGTGTCTTTTTTAGAGGTAACCGAAATTGACTGCCCAGGGCAAAGATCATCTTAAACATTAGTTTTCCCTTCCTTTAACGTTTACACCCACCTGACAGTTGTACGATATGGAAGGTCATTTTTGTCATAAACTTAATATAGATCTGATTTGATTTCTGACGAGCATTTACCGCATAACTCTTGAATTTTGCAATAATATTTCTGCTCCTCTCTCAAATCTTTATGTCACCCGGCCATGTTTTTAACAAGTTAACAAAACTACATGTATTGAAATGACCTGCATATATTTTATTGCATGTGCGCATCATGCGAATAGATTGTTGGTTAGAAAAATTTATATTTTTTCCAGTGGTTATACAATCCATGTACTTTCATGTGCTAATAATGGTTAAATTGAGCTGTTGCCACTAATTAAAATATACCCCTTGTACCTATAAAACGTTCAGGAAGAATATTTTTATGACATATATTATTATTATAAATGTTATTGTTTTAAATCATATTTATATATAAAATCAAAATAGAATATACTTAACCAAATTTCTACTTAGTCACCCCTTAAAAAACCTTGTTTCGAAAGGTCTTATCTATGTTAACACTCTTTTCTTACATAATATTCGGACTGTTATTTCTATAACATCAACAAATTGAATCCAAGCGATCGTATTAAAATCAACCATGCGGGATAAAATTACAAATGACAATTTCATTCACGTGCATCGCAAGGAAATGTTCCTTGCATCAAATGTGACGTATTTAAATGTTATAAGAAACAGAAATATGCCGACATTTTCAAAATATGAACAAGGAAGCAATGTTGGTCATCACAATTTCTTTGCGCTTTACATTGATTTTCCGCTGCAAACTGTATTTAAAGACCGGCATATTCACGGGGGAGGAAGTGTTACACGAGGAATAGAGTTCCTATGATAACTTATCAATGACTTCTTGTGATAACTGTCACGGGGTTCGTCGGAAATTTATTGTATATAATGCAAAAACATTCGTCAAAAATGGTAATTTTCATTGAAAAAAGTGAGTTTTGGTGGTAAATTAATATTTAATAATTCAGCTTGCCTTACATATTCTATTATGTGTCAAAAACTAATTCATAGTCCATTTTTTCATCGCCTCTTGCTTAAAATCTGATAGTTTTGAGTAAATTTTTCAAACAATTTGCCAATTAGCAAGTATTGGCCTGTTTATTTCAAGTCTTTATCCTACTGTAACACTTCCTCCCCCGTGATATTCCTTCTCTTTCCGTGTTGTTACAAATCAAATATCCGCCGATATGACAAGAAAAACATCAGAAAAAAATGAAAATAACTGTTTTCAGTATAAAACAATGGAATATAAGAATGGGTTCATATAGCGATAACTTTCGAAAGGGGTGACTTATTTGAAAATCGGTAAAGTGTAATGATCATATTAACGAGGCATGAATTCAGTAAAATAAAATGTGAATGCTTTAGTTGATGATGGAATTATTCTACAGGTAACGATGGTTTGAGTAAGTGTGGTCAATTGACTATTGACAAACCCACAATACTAGGACGGTATGTCGAATTTTCTTTTTCCCCCGACATGTATGATCCAAATGCAATTCTTGAATGGCAGCGCAGCATGAATGGAATAGAGCAATGGAAAACGCTTCCTTTAAACAACAAGTTTATACAATATGAGAAAAATAGGATTTACTACCTGATTTTAACTGACAGTGAGAAAAACCAAGACGAGGGATTTTACCGTATTCATTATTATAATGAGACTATACATTGCTGGATGAACGCTGGGGAACTTACGCTTGAAGGTATTGTAGAATAAATATTGTTGCTGCATATTTAATTTTCTTTAATGTTTCAATGTATTTCGATGCTTATAAGTAAACAGGTAGCCACTATCTATAACTAGCCATAATCAATTATCATTTTTTTATATTTACATTATCTCACTGTAATTGCTTATTGAATATTTATTTATATGATACATTATTTATTGTCTGAACCAAAAATGTTTATATCAACACAAATTAAATTAGCATTTGCCTTACTATATTTTATTTTAAGCTATAAACAATTCGTGTGGACTCGTCTACCTCAGATCTGAAAAGGTGATTGTTAATGGAACCGTGAAAATCGAATATTATCCGTCAACTGATGTGATGCAAAATAGTTCTAGTTTCGAACGTAGATGGATACATTCCGTCGGAGGGAAACACAAAATATTGTCATTGGTTGGTGGTAGTTACGAAGAGACATCTGAGCAAAATAATAAATATGTGTTGACAATATTCATGTTCAATATTTCTATGAATGGAGATTATGGTGTTTATTGTGGCTCTTCCGCAAGATACACAGATTTTATAACCGTGAAATTACCAGGTTTGTGTATGTTTCTAAACTGAAATATATCTTAAGACCATAAGAAACTTCTGCAGAAATACAATTTGTATTTATTATTTATAAAAAGGAGTGTAAAAAGTAATATTGATATACACTGAAAGATACTTCTAACGCAACATAAAAATATGATGAAACATCTGCAGAAACTTCTGCAGAAATACAATTTGTATTTTAAAAAAACTAATAAAGGAGTGTATAAGTAATATTGATAAACAATTGAAAGACAATTCTAACGCAACATATTAATATAATTTAATATATCATTTAGTACTCTCTTGCACATGAATGTAACGCAGTTATTTAAACATAACGGGCGGCCAGTTCTACTTGTTGAAGTAATGTGAGCGAAACACATTAATTATGATTATTTATATTATGCGATTGCCCACAAACTGACATCTATGACATTTTTATTTTTACACGAATTTTGACAAAACTATTGTCCGATTTGAACTTGATGTTTTGTTAAAGTTTTGCATGCAGTATTTAATCTTCAAAATTTCTGAAGGTACTTACTTTTAAGTTCTGCATGAAAACTTAATTATAAATTTATGAACTTATATTATTAAAACTAAAATCGTGTCTTCTTCATCAATAAGGCAAGGTCATTATTCAAGGTCCATAACTCCTATAAGGTTTCTTTCTTACATTAACTTTCCTCTGAACAGCTCTTGTAACAAAATGCTATTTCACTTTTACGAAATACCATTTCATTATTTAACGACACGTTGATTTAGTTATATCATTTCGTAAATACAAAATGTCATTCGTAAATAATATTTTGCTTTTAGCAAATGTTATTACCTTTTTTAACAAATGTTTTTTTTACAAATACTATTTCGTTTTTAACAAAAATGTTATATTTTTATAACAAATAGTAGTTCGTAATTAAAAGATTTACGGATGTGTATGTGTATCGTAATAATAACCGGTGTAAGCGACAATTATTATTATTATTATTATTATTATTTGTACATTACAAGACAATGAATCAGTAATTAGATTATAATTAACAAAAATTACATAGGTTTTGCGTTAGAAACGTTGTTTAGTGTGCAAATACATGTATACATAAACTCAACAAGTGCGTGTACAGATTTATTTATCTTCAGGTCTGTCTAAATGTGTCTTTGTTTAAAGATATCAGTATAGTATAGAGCAAAATATCCAAATATTTATGTACCAAAAAGGATATTATCTGTTTATATTGTTAAAAATAGTATGCATAATGTTTTAGATCCACCAAGTGTACCTGTAATAGTAGGTCTACAAGACATAGAAAATTGCACTGACTGTGTTGTTGGTGAGGATAATGAGATGTTCAAACTTGCCTGTGAGATACACGGTGGCTCCCGTCCTCTAAACGTTACCATGTATATTGGAAATGAGACAAAGCCTCCTCAAAAATTGAATTCAACAACTTTTATGGTATTCTTCACGGTTAGGGACCACCATCACATGGAAAATGTGATATTTTCCGTCATGAACGATGCATTGTCGTCACCTTTAAGTGTTACTGCTAAGATGTTTGTTACAAGTAAGTATATTATGCTAATTCATGTGCATTTAGATGGTATGTTTGAATATTATTACACTTCTGAAAACTCACAATGCCAAATGTTATTATCATTTTTTTAAACATTTTTATTTCTTTTATTCTTAAATGAAAGAAAATGATATTTGCATTTGAAATAAAACTGCATGTATCAACAAAATAAGTTGATTATTCTAATCGCACTCATTTTTTACTTTGATATTTTTGTTTTATTAAAGGAGATACAACCTTTATTTGTATATTTACAGAACCACCAACGTTTCAATTTTCGGTGCCGGAAATTCTAAGAAACGGAGAAGCTGTTAACATCACATGTACGTTGAATGATGGAAGACCCAATCCGAATGTGTATTTAAGTATTTCTGGTTCAGAAGTATCGACTGCAAACTCACATTATTATAATTCGACTACATCTTTAAATACCAACATTATCACTTTGACCACATTCAAAATAGAATGGAACAAAGAAAACATCACGTGCTGTCGATATAACGAATGGTACAAAATTGTGCGGGACTGTTCACCACCAAAACAAGTTAACTATCTTTGTAAGTTTTTTGTAAAAGATTTCTTTAAAATTCTGTGTGTACTACAGTTTATCCAATTCCATTCATAATCTTCTGAGTGCGCCTATATTTTAGAATCTTTTCACTTGTAATTCATGATTAATTCTGTCTGACCGGACTCATTAATGGGACAGAAACGCTATTATTTGCGAAGTCTCTTCAGTGGTCTCATTAGCAAGTTTTTACTGTAATTACAAGCTGATGTTAGCAATGTGATGATATTGCTTCAAAACATGTGTACTTTCTTAAGAAAAACAAACAAATATTATCTGGAATAAACAACTTTTACTTTCAGCCCGTAACATGAAAACGTATATTGTATTAAATGAAAATTATTTCAATAACAGTAAATGGTATGTATGTTTAATTTCTTGTTTTGTTTAGTTCCTCCAACGGATGTGATGTTAGAAGTCAAAGTTGATGCAGACAGTCAAATGTATGCTATTTGCACTGTGTATAGCTCGAATCCAGTCTGCAACGTTCAGTTTAAAGCTCCAAAAGGTATCATCGCATCAGAAAAGTCTTCAGAGAATATAAGTTTACCCCATGGTGCGTGGAATACTGTGTATGAAGTAAACTTGAATGTCAGTGAAGAAAACAATGGTACAGATGTAACGTGTAAAGTTGAGTGTGACGAGTTTCCTGTTGACCTTACAGACACTGTCAAAATACTTCTGCCTTGTAAGTTTCTAGACATTTCGTTAATTCTGTTGATAAAGATCACAATTAATATTTAGATAGACACCTGAAAAGCATAAAAAATTGTTGCTCAAAAGACGAATAAAACGTTTAAACTTGTAAGTCGCTGCCACTTTTTTTCAACAATTTAATAAGCATTATATTTATTTACAAACGTAGATTTAGAATGTGAAATATCGCAGTTGGGATATTTTGTTCCATTGTAATGTAATCTAAGTAACCTTTTTCTGATTTATTTGTTGCTGCGTTTGTGTTTTTATCTGTTTCTGTATATATGAGCTTTTCATCAAGATACATATTCCGATTATACCAATCTTTAATTATGACAAACATGATTTTGTATTGAAATCAAATTTCATTCCCTCCAGTTATAAAGTTCAATATATCTGGATCGACATTGAATATTTCTGAAGGAGAGCGGGAACATGTAAAATGTGAAGCTGAAAGCGTTCCCGCCTCAAATATATCATGGATTGAAGAGTTAAGTAATGAAAACATAACAAAGAAGCAATGTGACTTGTCACCAAACTGCGTATTAAATATTGATACTGATGAAGTTCCAAACAGACGTTTTATGTGCCAGGTTTACTATCAGACAAAAGTTTATCACAAATATCTGACTGTACACATGATAGGTAATGGTTTTACATTCCATTTGTTTGTTTTAGTAGTTTTTCTTTTAATAATTTACTCTAGTTTCCAAAAACAAGAATCCGTGCCTTGTTAAACAGAGTGATAAATTTACAAATTTACAAAAGTTACAATTTGAAAAGAAGAATGTCGTTTGTTTTTTAATACTATGTTTCATAATTTAAAGCGTTTCCATTTAAATGATTCAATTTTCTTTCCGATATAATACTTGTTAACAGCTTACATATGTACCTGTTCATCTCACGTCTCTTTTTAGTTTTACTAAACAAATCTCAATTTGTACCCTTGATACAAATTGATTTCATATAGATATAATATGTTTCTTTGCGTTAAAATACATTATCAAATAATAATCATAAACGTGAAATTCATGTTAATTAATCTAAGTAAGTCATCAGCTAATCATAAGGAAATTATTCATATTTATAAAGAAAAAGCCGATAAAGACAGTAAATACAATGATAAACAGAAAGAAGCTGGCCAAGACTCGGACAAATCCATAATTTGGATAATACTTGGTGCATGTGTACTTGTGGTCGGTATCATTGTCATAGCGGTCTTGTTTGCTGTCATCAGGAAAAAACGCCTAAAGTCTACAGGTAAGATTGACTTTATATCTTCTCTGAAAAACGGCGTCATTTGCAGTGCCTTATATATGTTGTCAAATGTCGATATTACATAAGTATTAGCATTTCCTTAAATGCGAGAATTCTTCCGGGTATTCCAAATTTTGTCGTCAAATTGACTCCTTCCTGAACAATAGGGGAAATGTTTTTCCTAATAAATAAAATAAAAACATTGCAGACTGCTGTTCCAACGGCGCAACTTTTTGAGGTCTTTTGTCATCCATTTTGTTATTATGTGGTATTAAATTCTCCATTCTGATTGGCTTAGCACATGCAATGTACGAGTATAAATGATCAAATCTTGATAGTTGTATATATCGCCGTCCAGGAACGGGACAATTATTTAGAAAAGAATTATGCATTGTCAATTTTAGAAGTATTCATTGAATACGGAAAGTAACCGAATTCATACGATGGATGAAAAAGGCGTTGTAATTGTTCAACGCTGTTTTTTGCGTTCATATTATTCCTTATTATTCAGGAAACAAAAATATGCATACAAATGAACGACATACACGTACAGTGTTTAAATCAACACAATATTTTAGCTCGATCATGATGAGAACATGATGAAACCAGCTGTTTTGTAGTACGGTACATGATACATGTCCTTTGACTAAAAGGCCTTGGGCTGAGCTTAACAACTTAACCACGAGCATGTATAACTTTGTACAAGAGTATCGTGTAAGCAAGCCACACGTCTGCATAAGTGTCTTTTTTCGTTGGACACTTTGGCAACAATATTAATTCTAAGCTTATTTCTGTTTAATAACGTTTATCCATTACATTTTCTTTGTATTTACAAACGGCATTATTAGTTATGTTGGCATTTCTTTTATATATTTTTTCTTCAACATTACAGAAGAGAGGGAACGCCGGGTAGATTATCACAAGCATGCGGGAGATAAAGTGTAAGTGTCCCTTTACAATTGATAAATACTTTATCAAAGAATTAGATTGTTTGTAAACGTTTATTTAAGACCTTTGTTTCAGGTAGTGAAAAGAAACGGAAATGCTTAATTTTCCTGTAACTGTATATGTGCATACATGTGTATTTATTTTTCGTTGACTTTTTTAATATATCATATGCATTAACGATCAAAATTTGATTACTTTCTCACATTACATTGTAATTACTAAAAGCTTTTTAATGATTTGTATATTTCAGAGATATGTGTGCCATGTTACAATTTAGACTGTTCAATTTAAATCTAGTTTTAATCTTTTAAAACAAACATAAGAATCATGGTCCTGTGTATACGATTGCAGATTTTCTCAACAAAACCCGGAGGTTCGTCCTTTGGGAAATCTTAATCAGAATGCGCATGCGCTTGAGAACGAGGCAGAAGTACCTGTATATTCTCAACCAGTCAAAAAGAAAACGATTAAAGACTCGGACAATACATATGCGCAAGTAAACAAAACAGGAGCATCAGCTTCTTCTTCAAAGACGGAAAAGGTGTGGATAGAATTAACACATTTTCTTTTGTTTATAATTATATAGAGACGATGTGATGGCTTGCGTAAGGTCATCTGCATATTTGATATAATAATTTACTTGACTGAACATTTTTGTAACAGCTTTTCATCAGATGAAGTATAAATTTAGATTTTAATATTATGAAATCTGGAAAATAAGTATATTTTATGTTTGTGTTTGATTTACTTTTAAGCCCCAACATGCACAGGACGGACAATTACTATATGCTGATCTTGACTTTGATCCAAATGAGACTCCATCAAAAGCAGCAGTTGCCAACCGGCGAGATACCCCTACAGAATATGCCGATATAGATTATGTGAAGACAAAATCTAATAAAGGCATTGATGATACTCCTAAGGAACAAGACAATATTTATGCAAACCAGTAGATATATTTGATAGTCATGACGTATGTGTCATTACACAAATCAACTTTTCACACGAAACACTATAAATATTAGCATGTGTATGCGAGTGTTTGTCATGACTTATTGCCATATCTTAAGATTTAATCTGTCGTGAAATTGAGTTATTGAACTTTGATGAACTGCTTTTTGTGTTATGTGTTTTTTCTATGTTTTTTGACAATGTTTGTTGCGCATGCACATTTAACTGATAATTGCAAAAAGAATATTTTATCATTAATCAATGTAGTTATATTGTTAAAACCTTTATTTAAGTTTCACTTGCTATTTTATAAAATTGACAACTAAAAAGTCAGACAGGGATTTTATTTTCATTCAAAACACTTTACCGATAGATTATAATGGAATCGGGAAAAAGGATTGAAAGACGTTGCACGTGATTGAATGGTGTTAACAAACCAGAACGTGTATTATTAGCATAACAAGTAACATAGAAAATTATGAAAAAACAGAAGTATTAAGTGAAGTACATTTCAATTAAATTATGATATATTAAAATATCCCGCAATTAGAATCGTTTACAAACAATTATGAGTGTAAATTTCAAAATAATGCCATTCACACTTTTTGATTGTTAGGAAATGATAGTCAACGCATACAAAAGTAAGTAAAATTAACCCATTGACTTCACATCATATAATACCGCATAATTGAAATTATATCATGATTTTTAGAGTGGTTGATTTTTGCTATTTCATAGGAAGGTATGGAGTTCAGATGTTCAGTTATATCATCACGAAGGTCGATAAGACTTTGATAATGTCAAACATCTGAAACGACATACCACAACAAACTTAGATTTATGATATTTTGAAATTCTATAATTGCGATAAAAGAGAAGAGAAGGAATACAGTATTTGACAATAAGTTATTTCAATGTGCTTTAGAAGGTGTTGATGAATTTATCATTTGCAATTTATTTTGATAGCACGTTTTGAAAACGCCGAACCTAGTTGTTTTTTTAACTTGCGTAAATTACATGAAGGAAGTGTATGACTGGTATTTAGTGACCGCTTCGATCCTTGGACTCAATGTTGAACAGTATATGTAATGGATTTGAACGCATCCCCTCAGTACGTGTACATCGTAGAGAAACTACAGGGCATCGGCATAAGATTTGGGCCTGTTTATTCACACCAAAGAATTCTTTTAAGATCTCAGGTTTTTAACTAAAGGGTAGGCCCGGAGCCCAAAACTTTAAATCGCCGGGGGAGTTTAGTTTATTTCCAACTACGACTCAGCTGCCCAGGCCGGGGTTGGGTTTGCAAAAATAGGAGGGCCCACGAGGAAAATGGCCCCGCACAGAAAGTGAGGGTTGAAAGGCAGGCCCTTACTGGATAAAAAAGTCCTTTTTTAGGGGCTACCCCATCTTTTTTCATTGTTCCCCGGGATACAGTAAGGCTTTTCCGCCCTTTAGTGGCTTTTTTTTGGTTTTTAAAATTCTATCTTTTGTTTTTTACTAAACTGAAATGTTGTGGTTCATTTTCCCAAATTTTCTGGGAAGTCTGAGAAGGCCGGGGCCCTCTAAACTTTTTCAGAAAAAATGTTTTTTTAAAAGTATGGCCCA